GGGGGGGGGGTCTCACCTCTGCCGCTCTCGCTCCTCCCGCAGCGACTGCAGCAGATGCGGACCCCGGGTGACGTCGGCAGAAGGGGCGTGGCCCGCTATGCAAATGAACCGCCGCGTCACGGGCGCGCCCCGGAGCGCGGCGCTGATTGGCCCGGCGGCGCGCGGTGATGGACAGCGGGGAGGCGGAGGGGGGGCGGACCCCCCCCTCCCGGCGCGGTGGTGGGCGCCGCGCCCCCCCCTCGGCCGCGCGCGGTGGTGAGGTCCGGCCGCGCGGTGTGAGGCGCGGGCTGAACCACGCGCCGCGCGGGCGGGGGGAGCGGGGCGGACCATTCCCGCTCAAGGGGGGGGGGAGGGAGCGAGGTCTCGCAGCCTCGCTGTCGCGACATGGCGCGCTATATCGCGACGCCCCCCCTTAGGCTTGGCAGTGGCGGTCGGGCTGATCTTTACCTTGGCAGGGCGCCTGGCGCTGAGGCGGGGCTGGTGCGCAGGTGGGCGGCCATGTCCTCCCTCGCCCTCAGGTTCCAGCGGGGATTAGGGGAGGCAACATATGGCGGCCTCGGGGCACCGGCACCGCCCTGCCCGGGCCTGCCCTGCCCTGCCCGGGGCCCCGGGACCCTCCCGGGCCCTGCCCTGCCCTTCCCAGAGCCTTCCGGGCATTGCCCTGTCGTGCTTTGCCCAGGGGGTTTCAATGGCCCCTGTCCCGGTGCAACCTCACCGGGGCCTATCCAGGACCCAGAGCCCCGGGAGGACGGAGCCGGACATCCCCCAGGCTCTGGCTGGAGCTGCCGGACACGGTGGGTGCTGTCCAGGTGGGCAGTGAGAGCCCACCGTGAGGAGACAGAGCAACAGCCCCCAGCGACAGCGGGATGGCCGGGAGGCAGGGATGGATCCAGGCTCAGGGATGGATCCAGGCTCAGGGATGGATTCAGGCATAGGGATGGATCCAGGCTCAGGGATGATCCAGGCTCAGGGATGGATCCAGGCATAGGGATGGATCCAGGCATAGGGATGGATCCAGGCTCAGGGATGGATCCAGCTGCATGGTTGGATCCAGGCTCAGGGGTAGATCCAGGCATAGGGATGGATCCAGGCTCAGGGATGGACCCAGCTGCAGGGATAGATCCAGCCATAGGGATGGATCCAGGTTTAGGGATAGATCCACCCTTGGATTCAGCTATAGGGACAGATCCAGCCACAGGGATGGACCATACGTGCTGCTCCCACCTTCCCCGGGCAACAGCTCCACCACCCTCTTTGTCCGTGGATTCTGCAGCCCCTCAGCCAAGCACGGGATGAAAAGGGCTTTTTCCCACCAGCTCCTGCCCTGCTCCAGCCCGGCACAGTCTGGGACAGACCTGGGTTCAAGGAGTTCTGGGAGCACAGAGCCTCAGCTGACCCCTCTCAGCACAGCCCCTCTCCGCCAGGAGAGACAGGAGGACACTCAGCACCCACCAGGAATGACTGGCCCGTGTGGCTCCAGCGCTCCCAGCTCATCCCTGGGCTGGGAAAGGATCATCCAGCTCCTAAGGCCCTGCTGCCGCCACGGGGGATAGTGTGGGACGGGCAGGGGGTGAGAGCCTCGGGGGCCCCACGTGCCAGGGCAGTGCCGGGGCAGTGCCAGGGGTGGGGACGTGTTTGCGGAGATAAATCACCGTGGGGAGCAATGCGGAAGAGCCGGGAACGGGCCCCGCGCCGCGCCAAGCCGGCGATTAAATATTTACCTTAGCAGGCCGTGGTTGCCAGTGATGGATCTCAGCGTTTCCAAGGAGGAGCTCCTTTTGTTCCAGGCCCTCCCTGGTGCCCGCCGGGGCCACCAACCACGCCAGTCCCTGGGGACATTGGCACAGCTCCCGTGACACCAGGAAAAGGCACTTCCAAGGAAAAGAGGCACTTAACAAGGCTCGTGTTTAGGGTGGAACAAACCGGGTTTAATCTCTGGAAAGGTGAAGGAAAACTCAAAAGGATCCTGGGGGGACTGTCCCCGGGCAGGGTGCCGGAGACTCAGGGGTGGGGGGGTCACAGCACCCGCCAGGGACCAAAGTGTGAATTAAAAACGCAGCATTTTCAGTGATCACGGAGCAGAAATGTGACTTTCCTCCCTGAAAAACGTGTCTTTCCGCCCCAAATATCCACGTGAGTGCGGCCTCGGAGAGGCTCGGAGTAAAAAGTGAGCTACAAAAGGCTTTAAAAAGTGAACCTGTCCCCAAATAAATAAACCCCTGACTCGTGCCCGTGCCGTGCGCCGGTGCCTGGGGGTCCCTCGTGCTGGGGGTGTCACCAGCACCCTTCACCCACCTCCCTGTCCCACCGTGGGGCTGCTGTCCTGCGAGGGGCCACCTGGAAAAGTGCTGGAATGCTTTTGGCTGTGCCCCAGCCCTGTGGGGGGACTCCTTCCTGGAGCCCTGTGGGGCGTGATGTCCCCAGGGCTGGGCTGGGGCCGGAGCACAGCGTCCCCAAGCCTTGCCTGAAGGGGACAGGGACCTTTCCCAGCAGCTGGTGGGAGACGGGAGAGGGCGAGCAGCGCCTTCCTGTCCATCAGGACCTGCCCAGATCCCACATGGGGACACGACTTGGGTCCCTCCACGCCCTGTGTGGTGCCACTGCCAGCTCCCCGCTGTCCCCAACGCCGGCCAGGGCAGACCCCAGTCCCACGTCCCCGTGGCAGCCAGGGGACCCACCGGCCGGTGCCGCTACGTGCCCAGGGACAGGAATGTGACGTTGCCCTCCGTGTCCAGGCACAGCCCTTGGCTGTCCTCGGGCCCTGGCACGGAGCACCCGCCGCCACCGTCCTTGGGCAGCGTCCCCTCCAGCGCCCGCCGGTTGTCCACGTCCCTGGGGCGGGGGACGGGCGAGTCCCGCTCCCCGGGGCCGGGGGACAAGCGCCTGGTGTCGGCCGACTCCGAGTCGTCCGTGCCCGGTGTCTTGGAGCCGCTGTTGTCCTCGTCCAAGGGGCTCTCAGGCCCCTCCAGCTCCGTGTCCGACTCACCCTCCTCCTCCTCCTCCAGGGTCAGCTCGAACTGGAACTTGTCGGTGTTGGCGGGGGACGCGCCGGGTCCCTCGGGCGGAGGGGAGGGGCTGCGCGGGATCATGCTCTGGTACCACTCCCGGTTGTCCTCCAGCGTGTCCAGGAGCTCCTGGGCGTCGGGGTGCACCAGGTCGGCCCACGTCTCCCACAGCGGGTGGGCGATGAAGTCGATGAAGCCCACCTTGAGGGGGGGGAAGGGGAAGGAGGCAGAGCTGAGCCCCCGGCCCAGCCCTGCACGCCCTCACCCCGTCCCCAGGCCACCGCCCCACCTGGGACTTCTCCACGGAGGCGGTGTGCTTGTCGCACATGGGGCTGATCTCCATCCCCTTCTCCCGTTCCCGGTCTCCCTGGTGGAAGAACTCCACCATGATGCGGTTGGTCCACTGCCGGTAGAGCTCCAGGGGCTTCGTGGGGTTGCTGAGGTCGGCGCAGTGCACCATGTTCTGCAGGACCTGTGGGCACAGCCACGGTGTCCTTTGTCCCCCAGGACCACCCTCACACTGTGCCAGTGTCCCTTGGCCATGCCCGGCTGTGGTTGGGAGTCACCAGGCAGGACGTCCCAGCAGCCCAGAGCAATGCCCAACATCTGCAGTGCCAGGAAGGATTCCCAGCCGTGTCCCCTTCCCACCTGGATCCGGTCGGAGTAGTTGTCCAGCAGCAGCACCCCCAGGCTGGTCACCTTCTTGGTCTCCACCATGGTCTTCAGATCCGCCAGCAGGTTCATGTGCTTGGACATGTCCGTGGCCAACACCTGGGCAGGACAAGCCGGGAACGGGGCTCAGCCTGACCCCCCCCAGCCCGGACCCCCACCCCAGGGTGGTCCAGCCCCCCCCATACCATGTCGATGACCATTTTTCGGAGCGTCTGCCTCTGCTTCCTGCTCAGGTTCTGGAAGATGTCGCAGTTCTCCTCCTGGAGGAGCTTGAAGCCCACGGCCAGGTGGTGGTTCTCCAGCACCGAGGCGTCGTTGTACATCAGCGCCAGCTCCGAGTCTGTGAGAGGGCACCGGTCACCCCGGGGGGACTCCTGGGTGGGGTCCCCCACACCCCCTCCCCAGCTCCATCCCTGCTCCCCAGCTCACTGGTGTTGATGAGGAACTGGTTGGAGACGCCGGGGTGGTCGACGTCGTGGATGGCGCTGGCGAAGATGGCAGCCATGATCTCCAGGTCCGTGAAGACAGCCTGGGGAATGGTGGGAGAAGGATTTGCGGGCATGTTACAACCCTGCCAGACACACCCGCTGGCCTCCGTGGCCTCAGGAGACCAGGAATCACCTCCAGGGCGGGCGTGGAGAGGAGGACGTGGGTGGACTGCGCCACGTCGGCGGCGTGGAGGTTGTTGTGATAGGCCACGTCGGCGTGGTAATGGTCCTCCAGCGTCAGCATGTAGGTGATGAAGGTGTTGACGGGGATGCGGAAGGTCTTCATCAGGTCACGCTCCTGCACGGAGGGAGGCGGGAGGTGGCTTGTCCCCATCCGGGCACGGGGACAGGCCCATCCCACCGGGATGCTCACCTGGAAGATGCTGTACATGATGACGGTCAGCGGGCGGTTCCCCGAGTACTCGGCGACTTTAAACACGTTGAGCCCCCACTTGTTGGTGTCCTCCAGCTCCTGGGGACCAGAGGGACAGAGGTCCATGGGGGGCTGGCGCCAGGGACCCTGTGGTTGGGGGGGGTCACCCGTGCCAAGCCCACCTTGGCCAGCAGCCCCTCGTGGTCCGTGCGCACCCCGAAGCGGGGGATGCCGGCGGCGGCGAGGCTGGAGCTGTGCTTGAGCTTCCTGACGCCGCTGATCTGGGACATGGGGCGCTTCCTCCGCTCCTTCTCCTTGTCCTTGGCCAGTGCCGAGGGGATCTCCACCTCGTGCTGCTTGTCTGGGATGGCACCGGGGGGGCGTGAGCAGGGTGGGAGCCCAAATTCCCCCCCCGACATCCCCCCGGCTCGCGCTGATGACGCGGCGCAGGTGACACCGTGGTGTCGTGACAATTTGGGGGCTGCGTGGCGGGTGCCCAGCACTTCCCATCACTGCCCTGCATGAGCCACCCGCCTGCCAGTGGATCCAAACCCTGCCCTGGACACCCCTCCAGGCCCAGGGGG